TGCACAGAAGTAATTTGATTATACGTTATAGAAATCACCCCCTTTAGAGTAGGAATAGGTAATAAAAAAGTGTCAAGGGGTGATTCTTGTGGAGCATTAGGAAATGTTGAAAAACTACTATGTACAAAGCTACGTACTTGCAAATATCAAAAAAAATGACTACGAGGCAGGTCGTATTTTTCAACAAGTTGTTGAAAAGAGGCAAAAATATCATCAATAAACATATCCCTAATTGTTTTAATGCCTAGTCTTGACCAAAGATTAAAGGCAGAGTCATTAAGAGAAGGTAGAAAAACATGATTAGAGGAAAGTGGGGCATTTAAAGAGAGAGACTGCAAGCCGATGAATCGTCTGAACTGGTGCCATATCTTCAAAGACGATTTAACAATTTTATTGCAGGTATAAGGAGTTATTGAAGATGAAATAGGAGAATGAAGCAAGGCTAAAAGAGAAGATGGTTTAGTGGACCTGGCTTCCATGACAAGCCAAGCGTGAGAATTTGGAACATCAGAATGAAGCCAATATCTAAATATTCTAATATTGCATGACCAATAATAAAATTTAAAATTTGGCAGGGCCATGCCCCCTAATTTTTTTGATCTCTGTAGATGTTGAATGCTCAATCGTGACACCTTATTATTCCAAATAAAATTGCGGATAATAATATCAATTTTCTTAAAAAAGGATTGAGTTAGAAAAATTGGTATTAATTGGAATAAATATAAAAAGCGGGGAAGGATATTCATTTTGATGCAATTTATGCGAGCAACCAAAGAAAGCCCCAAAATTGACCAGCGATCCAAATCCTCTTTGACACGCAACAGTAAAGGAGAAAAATTGGCTCCAAAAAGATCCTCAAATCTTCGAGTGACCTGGACACCTAGGTAGGTAAATTGATGAGTGATTTTAAACGGTAGAGTATTAATGAGGTGACATTCAGAGACATTGAGAGGAAAGAACTCACTTTTAGTTAAGTTTAATTTATAACCGGAAATCCGTCCAAATACCTGTAGCGTATTTAAAGCTGCTGGAATAGAAGTATCCAAATCACTTAAATACAAAAGTAAATCGTCTGCGTACAAAGACACTTTGTTTCCTATGCCATTCCTAATAATCCCACTAATCTCCAAATTCGATCTGAGCGCGATGGCAAGCGGTTGTATCGCCAAGGCAAATAATAACGGACTTAATGGACAGCCTTGACGCGTGGAACGAGAGAGACGGAAGTAAGCAGATTGGATATTATTGGTTCTGACTGCAGCGTGTGGGTCTGCGTACAACAGTTGAATCCAGGATAAAAACTTCTGACCAAAACCAAATTTTTCAATTGTATAAAATAAATACCTCCATTCTACTCTATCAAAAGCCTTTTCGGCATCTAAAGAAATTAGGGCTTCCTGGGAGTCTACAGGGTTTGGGTTGTATATAACATTAAAAAGGCGTCTAACATTAGAAAAGGAGTGTCTATTTTGAACAAAACCAGTTTGGTCTACACTGATTATGGAAGGGAGAACTGTATTGAGACGTAAAGCCAATGTTTTAGACAACAATTTGAAGTCGACGTTTAGTAAACTTATGGGGCGATACGAAGCACATTGTAATGGATCTTTGCCTTTTTTAGCAAGAAGGCTAATAACGGCTTGATTAAGAGTTTCAGGCAAGTGGCCACATTCCAAAGATTCTTTATAAACTGATAATAATATTGGTGACAATTTATTCCAAAATATCCTATAGAATTCGCAAGGATATCCATCCGGGCCTGGGCAGCGGCCTCCTTGAAGAGATTTAACAGCAACTGTTAGCTCTTCAATTGTGAGAGGTTTCTCCAAGTTGTCAGCAACTACCCGATTAATGGAGGGAACATGCAACCCTTCAAAAAAATTGTCAAAATCAGATATGGATGCAGTACAGTCTGAAGAGTATAAGGCAGAGTAAAAATCTTTAAAAGTATTGTTAATTTCAGTTGGTTCAGAGGAATTTCCATGCAGCGTCTCAATCTGAGAAATTTGATGTGACGCAGAAACTTGGCGAATTTGGTGAGCAAGTAATTTACCAGCTTTGTCCCCGTGTTCGAAGAACTGAGCACCAGATCGAAGCAGCAGATCAGCTGTGTGTTTAGTCATCAAAATATCAAATTCTGACTGTAATATAATACGTTCCTTGTAAAGATTTGGGTTTGGAGAAGTCGCATACAGACTGTCCAATTGAGAGATACGGCAAGTCAAATTCAGAAGCTTCTCATTTCTAAGCTTGCGCTCATATTTTGTAAAGGAAATTATTTCACCTCTAATATATGCCTTTAATGTCTCCCACAAAAGATAGGCCGAGATATTAGAGCTTTCATTATTTGATAAAAAGAAATCAATTTGTCGCTCAATAAAAGAAACAAAGTTTTCATTAGCTAGAAGCTGAGTGTTAAGACGCCACAATGAGCGACCGGATTGTGACTGAAATTGGATATTTATTGAAACGGGAGCATGATCGGATAGGACAATTGCATCGTACTTGCAATCCATTAAGGAAGGTAAAAGTCTGTTATCGAGTAAAAAGAAGTCAATGCGAGTAAAAGTATGGTGGACAGGCGAAAAAAAAGAATATACTTTTTGTTGAGGATTTAAAAAGCGCCAAGGATCCGTTAGGGAAAATTCTTTGGTAAAAGAATTAAGTGCTTTTGCTGCACGTGTAAGGCTAGCAGCTTTATTAGATGACCGGTCTAAGTCCACGTCTTGCCAACAGTTAAAATCACCTGCCATCACTAGCATGTAAGATGACATATTAGGGAGTCGTGCAATCAGTCGTTTGAGAAAATCCTCGTCATCATAATTTGGAGCATAAACATTTACTAAAGCTAAGGGAACGTTGTTGATGGTACAAGTAATAATTACATATCTACCATTCGGATCGGAAATTGATTGTAAGTACACAAAAGGAACAGATTTTCGTATTAGAATTGCTACACCCCTAGATTTACTATTAAAAGATGAATGATATATGTTACTAATCCAATTCTTTTTTAATTTCAAATGGTCCAAGTTTTTCAAATGAGTTTCTTGCAAGTAGATAACATGAGCCCCAAGCTGATGAATGTGGTGTAATACCTTACTACGTTTTAATGGGTTGTTGAGCCCTTTGCAGTTAAACCTGGTAAAACGAATCTCTTGTCTTGAAGATGGTGATGAATTGTGTGCCATGATTAAGATCTCTCAAGGAATCTCAAAGCAGTATCTTCTGACCACCTGTAAAAAGAAAACATAAGAAAAAACAAAAAAGAGAACAGAGAACATACCCAAACCACCCACCCACCTCCCCACAAAAAAAAAATTTAAAAAAATAAAATCGCAGAAGTGCCTTCTGAAACCAGACACGCGACCCCATCTACCCCAGTGAAAAAAATACCAGGCCTAACTAAGGCAAGGAGAGAAAAGCACCTAAAAAAAAAAGTGCAACTCTCCAGTGGAATGTGAAATTCTTCAAAAGAAAAAAAAAAGTCACCAATGACTTAAAAATTTTTTTAGTAGTTATAAAAATATGTATAAAAAATAAATAGAAATAAAAAATATATATATATATATCTATGTATAAATAAATAAAATATCAGAAGTATATCTTATGTATTTCTAAAATAAAAAGTTATGAATATCAAAGTAAAATGGAAAAAAATCAGATCAATGAAAGAAAGGATAATAATAATAATACAACAGTAAAATAAATAAATTATAAAAAAATTACAATGTAATAGTTCCTACCATCCTCCCCAACAATAACTGCCACAGAAAAACGGAATATAACATATGCGTCGTCCATATGTATACAACCTCAGTGCTCATTGACGCATTTACCAACCAAGGATACCATAATAGTAATAATAAAATAAAAAAACACCAACCAAAAAAAAAAATAATAATAAAATTTTGTTTTAAAATAAATAAATAAATATATATATATAGATTGGGACATTGCTCAAAAGAAAAAAGTCAGAGCATTTATGCATGTACACATTGTAAAAGTAATAACACACATTTTAACTAGAAGAAAACAAATTATTGCACCAATGAATAGACTCAAACCTATTCATTATAAAATATAAAGTTTGTCCATCGTAACAGGTCGTTTAAACAGACTGTGGGTCCACCATGGTCTTGAGATTTTTCCTCACAAAGTCCATAGCCAAGTCAGGACTGTCAAACGTGCGAAGCTGTCCATTGGGGAGTGTTATTCTCAGTGATGCTGGGAAGAAAAGTCCAAACTTTATCCCTGGACAGTAGGGGTGTAACGGTACGCTAAAATCGTATTCGGTTCGGTACAGTGTCTTGGAGAGCTCGGTTCGGTTAATTTTCGGTACAAAAAAAATAAGAAATTACAAAATCTTTATTTTGAAAAGCTGCCAATACACAATAGAATTTTTGCATAAAATAAATAAAAGCGACCCATTTGGGTGATATTTTTCAATAAATTGCACACTTATAATGAACTACACACATTTTGTAACATTTAAAATAAAAATTAAAGTGACCCATTTGGGTCATATTTTAAATAAATTGCACTCTTTATGAAGAAATACACATTTTTAAAATGTAAATACTGCAACTAGTTAGGACCTGAAAACGTTTAACACTAGCAACAGCTTCAGCTTGTATATCAACAAAACTAACTATTCAAGTTTAAAGTTTTTGGCTAAAAAGATTAACCTATCCACATTTTCTGAAGAGAGCACAGATCTGGTTGCAGTGACAATATCTCCAGCAGTAGAAAAAACCCTTTCACTTGGAACAGAGGTAGCTGGAATAGAGAGGTAGCGCTTTGCTAGTTTTGCAATGTGCGTGTATGAGGCCTCATTGCTTTTCCACCACAGAAGAGGGTCAGCTTCAAGGGAGAGGCACCCTGAAGCTCTGTACCTAACCATTTCTTCTTGGACCTGCTCCAAAAGGGGTACCTGTACCTTGCTACTTCCCACCTGTCCCTGGAAAAGTTCACCAAAGAGTTCAGTCATTACAGACTTCTTAGCTGGAGGTGATGAGGAGGATGTCCCAGGAGATGAAGATGCTCCAGCTGTTATCTTGTTGACATCCTCTGTCTGCAGAACACATAAGGCATTTTTTTTAATAGGTAAATTCACATTTTTATTGTAAATAAAAAGTTTATTAGATACAATACCTGTTCTTCTGTGGTGATTATTTCTGTTGTGAGGTCAGTGAATATCCTCTCTCGTTCATCATCATCTATATGAGGCAGGGCTTTAAATCTGGGGTCTAGTGCAGTGCACTTGTGCAAAAAGTCACAGCATGTAGAGTATCTGTCCTGCAGATTCTTTGTGACTGCTACCTTAACCTCCCTCACAATTGGACGGTCCTCTTGTTTTGGTGCCATAGAGTGGAGAACAGTGGCTTTCAGTGGGAGTATCATTGACACTGATGCTTTTGTTTCAGTGCTCATTAGAGTTGTGATGGTTTTTAGAGGTTTGAGCACTTCAATAAGTTCCTCTGCCATAGTCACTTCCTCATCATTGAGTGTGTAAATGTCTTTGTTCTTGAGAGCTTTCTCCTTGAGTGCTGAATATATAGCGGCTTGCTGTTCAAGGTACCGTTCAATCATGTCATAACTAGAGTTCCAGCGCGTGAGAACGTCTTGAATGAGTGAATGCTTTGGAATATTCAGCATTTCTTGCTTGCACTCCAGTATGTGGGCAGCTGTGGTACTTCTATGAAAAAATGTCACAACTTTTCTGACTTTGCCCAATAATCTGGATACCTGGTTAATGGCTGTTGCTTTTTGGGAAGCTAAATTGATGGTGTGTGCAAAGCAACCAATCTGAGGGCCCAGTCCTGCTTCTTGTATTGCATTTACGATGTTACGTGCATTGTCTGTTGTAACAGGAATTGTAGTCCCAGGCCTCTCCAGCTTCCATTCATGCACCGCCTCCTTTAGGTGCTCCGCAAGGTTTGTGCTTGTGTGCTGTTCATACACGGGCCTCGTTTGCAAAACGTGACTCACCATCTCCCAATGTGGCGTCATGTAATGCACAGTTACAGTTAAATAGCTCTCTGTTGCTCGCGATGTCCATCCATCTGTTGTAAGTGATACAGTAGGCGCACTCGATAGCTTGTTGACCACATCAGTTTGAACTTTTTCATATAGTGCTGGTATAACTTTTTGGCTGAAGTGCGGACGCGATGGGATATTGTAGCGAGGCTCAAGACTTTTAATCATATACTTAAAGCCAGCGCCTTCAACAACTGAATATGGACGCAAATCGGTAGCGATGAAAACACCTATACCATGCGTTATTGCTTTCGCTCGATCCGAAGTACTTGACAGGGGTTGTTTAAATGCCGACGTTAGCGGTACTTGCACAAGGCTGCTTTTCTTCTTAGTAGAAGTGATATTTACATTCGGATGATGCCGTTTTAAGTGCGTTAACATGTTAGATGTGTTGCCTGCCGCATACCCGATCTCCGTGGAACAATGTCGGCATACAACTTTGGATTTATCCACTCGTCTATCCCCGTTATGTATTTGAACAGGGAAGCCAAAGTGTTCCCAAACAGGAGACCGTAGTGAGGTGGGAGGGTCTTCAAGCTCTGGCTTCTCTTTCGCTGTTGCCATGATGCCATTTCTCACGGCTACTCGTGCACATAGACTTTATAAGCTTGTGCAGCTCTACTGTGCGTCACTCAATAGCGTCCGTGCGGAAACTCGCCTAGGAACTTTTTTACCGCTGCGCTTAATATCACGCTAATAATAAATGTATATTATTTAATGAAAAAAATACACCGAAACGGTACGCAAGTGGACCGAACCGAACAGGCCACATCGAAACGGTTCAATACATCCCCGTGAACCGTTACACCCCTACTGGACAGGAATGAAGTTCTTTCTTCACGCCGCTGAATGCAGCGCGCTTCTTTGCCACAATGGCCGTAAAATCAGGGAAAATAAACACTCGTTTCCCCTGAAAGGTCAGGGCAGGTGACTCACGGGCTTTGCGGAGAATTTCATTCCTTGTCTGGAACTGGTTGACACGAACCACGAAGGGCCGCGGCGGGGCTCCGTCTCCGGGTCTGGGCCGCAGAGTCCGATGCGCCCGGTCGAGAATAGGTTTGACATCGAGGTGAAGTAGATTGTGCAGAAAATCGGCCACAAATTCTGTTGGGCGAGGGCCCTCCGTACCTTCAGCAACGCCAACAATTCGAATATTATTGAGTCTGGAGCGTCCCTCTAGTTCGTCACATTTATTCGTCAATAGCTCAACTTTTCCCTGAAGTTGGCTAACACATGCCTGTATGCTAGTTAGCCTCTGCTCATGGTCGTTAGCTGCTCCTTCCAAGTCGGATATGGCAGACGCATACGATGTAATTTTAGACTCTAAAGGGGCCAACGCATCCGTAACTTCACGTTTAACAACGTCTGCAACAATTGCCTCAAATTTGCCTATGATATCTCCACGCATTTCCTCCATCATCTCCCTCATGTTAGCTAGCAATGCGCCGTTAGCCGCTGAGGTAGCATCCTGTTCAGGCATATTTCTCGTTGTCATACCCGCTTTCCGTCTCATCTGAGCGCCAAACAAATCCGAAGGACCATAAGGGATGATAAGAAACCAATACTAAACAAGTCTTCGCACTTATGATTTAAAAAAAGGTGCACAATATCACAAAAATATCACATTCCGGCGGAGCCACCTCAAAGCACGTCTTGCACCATCCATGCTCAGCAGCGCCCCCTAGTTTGTAATATCTTAATCATGAATTAATAAAATATTTGTATGCACAAATACCAATAAATATGCACGCATTTTTTTTAGACATGCACGTCTTTATTGACAGTAACCTTACCCCATACAACGGTTGGACTTTGGTCTCGAAAAACAGCGAGAAGCTCTTTTGATTTTCTTTGACTTTGATTATTTCATGGGTTTGACGACATTTCTCAATTTTCTGTAATGTGAAGTAATGTGATTATGTCTTTGTATTGTGTCAAATTGAACGTCTGTATTTTGTTTTATGATTTATGAAAAATATAAGTTTTAATAAACACTTAACTAAACACTGCAGACCTGACCTCACGACAGTATTTGGATGAAGGGAGTCGTAAAAACACAAGAGATAACGTGGTTGTTTTATGGGAAGTACGTCAAAGTCTTATGAGATTAAGAACAACATCCAAGAATTTGTTTTGCAAATGCAAAAACAAACACAAAGTTACAAGCAACCTGGAGACAGACTCACTGTCTGTCTCACTGTTGGAGACTCACAGACTCCGAAATGTAAATGAGAGACTGAGAATCAAAAAGATACTTTTTATTAAAGTCTGGAGACCAGAGTCAGAGCGACAGCAACAGTGAGGTAAGAACCACTCTTTTCTAGAGCACCATGATACGAAGGACTGGAATCTAATCTAATGTAATCTAAACCAGTCCAATGTGCCATTGGACTGGACCAACTACGAATTTAATTTCACTGAAACATGGTTGAAATCATGAGAAAGTTTACACTGTCACTTCCTGATTGGATTTGTGCACCTCGACCAAAGAAATGTTATAAATGAACATGAATTAAATCTGGAGAGACTCATGAGACAAAATGCAATTTGAAGTATTTTATTAAAGGATGTTTGGCGCCCTAGGCCCCGGTGCGGCACTTTGTTAAGCGCGGCTCCTGTTTGTGTGCTCATGAGATCCCCCGGGATCTAGATACTGGTGGTGGCAATTGGGCAGCAGGAAAAGCACACGCTCGAAGACGGGTGTGAAGGAGGAGGAGGGGAGGCGGTGGTTGCGAGGCTTGAGAAGGCAGAGAAGTGGGTGTCTCCGCCTTTTAAGTTGCTGGCCTGGCAGGCATTGGGTGACGGGAGATGGGCGTTTGCTGTGCGATAGGCCGAGGATGCGAGGCAGGCCTGGAGGCGATGGGCGGCAGCAGTTCAGCCTTCCAGAATTGAATAATGCAGACTGCATTTCTAAAATAAAATATTATATGCTAAGCAGGGTAGGGCGTGGTGATGGGAGACCTCTACAGCAGTAGTTTATCACCTCTGTGTATGTAGTGAATGAATATTGCATCTTTGAGTGTTCAAAAAAAGCACTGTATAAAAATTATTATTTATTATATAATAATACAATTATTATATTATTATTATTAATATGAATTAATCATATATTCCTTTAAATTTGGAAAACATTTCTGCGTTTTATTGGTTTTCTCATTTTAGACGATTAGTCTGCTTGAGTGGGTTCACCTGATGAGGACATTTGCTTCTGAAGTGAATCCAGTCCTCCACACAGACTGTAAATAGATGGACAATGCTAACTGTAGCCCAATAGAGAAGTGCTCATGGATGAAGTTTTGCGCCAACTCGCTCTGTCTCATATTAATTTACATTGAAAAGTAATGGCCACGAGCTTAGTAACCGCTTGTGTTACTCTCACCAGTCTGGGTTTAAACAATCTATGGTCTAGTGCTCTCTGAAGCTAGTACCAACTGTTGTCCTGAGGCAAGGTGTAAAATGCCATCAAAATACACTGCAAACATTACAATATCAATCTTAGCAACACGTCTGCCCCTGTTACTGCACAAAGCTGACGCCCTCGGAACAAATACCCACATAAGGAAATGGGCTCCAGCTATCTTATGTTCAAATCTGCCACTTCTGAATCACGGCTAACACAGTCTAATCCTCGTCAGATTCATATGTTCCTGTTTTGATTTGAGCTGTTTTGTTGAGTCTGTGGTTTTCGGTCTCTGCAGGTGACGTCGTCAGACATGGATTACAAAGCTCTGTTGGTCTTTATATTTTGTGGTAAGAAAAATTCATAATATTTTACATTTCCTCACATCCATTCACTGCACATGTGTCGAGCGGAGACTTTAGAATAAAATAATAAAATCTCTGCTCAACATGAGACAGGGAATGTTTTAATAAATAACATGTCGTGCTCTCTGTGCACGTGCATGAGAGCCACACACACACATGCTCATTAGTATTTGGCGCAAAGCATGATGGGAGGTCGTCCACTGCACAGAACCAGGAGGACCAGAGAAAGACCCACATAGCCATCTCGGATCACAGGGGCTTGGTCTGGACCAGTGGGGGCGGGTCCTGGCTCAAAAGTGGCCAAAATGACGTGCGCTGACATGCTGCAATACCACCCCGGGCCGATGGGGGTGGACCCGGAATAAGAATTATTTAACCCTTGTATTATGTTAAGGGTCAATTTGACCCATTTCAGTTTTTGTGTTGATCAAAGTACTTGTTATCCTTTCTTTTTCTTGCTGAAATTTGGTGACTTTTCCTCATCTAGGGTCATGAACTGGTGTGTAAAATTTGGACACTTTGATGTGTAGTGGAATGTCTGTGCAGAGTTTGTATACAAAGATGATGTTGCGGGTCATTTAGACCCAGACGCTTTAATGTGGGTAAATAGTTGTTCAGATCCAAAAAAACATGTCTCTTTGACATTGTATTTTGATTGCCTCAGACCCAGAGCCAGGTGTGTGAAGAGAGGGAACTTTCTCACACTTGCCCTTGTCACTGTCATCTCTTTTGCCTAGCGTACATCGGACTGGCAACTGAATTTATCCGTCGCCTATGAGTTTCTGCCCCGCACACATCGACAATCTGGCGAAAACAGGCAACTCCCAGTAGCAGGCCAGTCTCGGGAATAACAGCGCGTACATCGACAGCAACTGGCCTCAACTACAGTGTGTTTTCTGACATAAACTGTAGAGGGCGCAATACACGCAATACACATGTTGTTGGAGCGCGCACATCGGGTGATATCTCCGGATCTGAGGACAACTAGTTGCCGAAAAGTAGAACACGTGCAACTGACTGAATCCGGAGACCGACTGTTTATCTCCAGTTGTAAGAGCGCTCACATCGACTGATTTCAACTGATCATCTCCATCATCTACTCTCAGTTGCCAAAAGCCGCCTTGAAACTGTTGTCTCCAGTTTCTCTGTTGATGTGCGCTAGGCTTTAGACAAACTCACCAAAAATGAGCTCCAGAAGGATGACATCTGAGGAGGTTTTTTCACAGATTTTTAACTGTGATAATGATGTAGAGGAAGAAATTTCAGAAACAGAGGAAATTTCAGAGACAGAGGACAATGTTATTGCTGATCCAGATTGTCAATTTTCCTACGATAAGGAAGATTCAGAGGACGAATCTTTGGTCAAGGAAGGAGGATGGGAGGAATGAAGTAAGGTAGAAAGGAAAGAATGGAGAAAGGAAGGAAGGAAGAGAAAAGAAGGAAATATAGGAGGATGAACAGAGAAGGAAAACAGGATGAGAAGACTAAAGGAGAAAGCATGGCAGGAGGAAAGAAGGAGGGAAGAATTGTCATTTTGACCCGAGAGGAGGACAAGAAGATTAGGCTAAATATTTCTTAAATATAGTGTTGGAATTAAAAATGCATTGTATGTCACTTTTCTAAATATTTATATAACCTAATATAAAGTTGTTATTGGTTTAACCTGTTTTCTTGACTGTTTTGAGTGCATTTACACAGTACGGGTCAAAATGACCCGCAACATAAACAATGTCATTTTTTTTCAACATAATACAAGGGTTAATACTAACATATAGCATCTTCTTACCTCTCAGAAACACCTTCACAGGATGGTCCAAAAGTTGGCTCTTGGCTCAAAGCTCCGTTCCACATGTGTGATAATTCTGAAGGGAGTGACATTTTTTGGACCAGTCTAGTTTAGTCGCTTTGAATTTTTGATGGCACCTCTTAAATGTATGGGGCTCGTGCAGCTGAGGCATGCGCAGATGCGATTTTTTTACATTTTCCAGCCCCTGTGGCTCATAAACGTCCATACATACTTGCAATACCACTCCTAGCCAGTGGGGGTGAACCCAAGACTCCATACAAAAGACAATGCTTTTGTATGGAGTCTTCTTTCCACTCAAACACGGCTCTACTGGACGGTCCAAAAGTCGCTCCAAGTCAGTCCAAAGCTTCCAGATGTGTGTAAATGCTGAGGGGAGTATATTTTTGGACCAGTCTGGTTTAGCCGCTGAGGACTTATGAATGGGGTTCTTGCAGCTGACGCATGCACAGACGTGTTTTTTCGTTTTCCAGCGCCTGAGGCCATTTTGAAACTATCCACAGTGAAAGTGATGACACATCAGTTTCAACAGCGGAGATAGGTGTTACTAGGTCCGTTAATATTTACAGTCTATGGTCTGGACCCACGACGATGCGAGCCTGACGGCACCTCGGTGAGGGCCCACAACATTGCTTCATGTTCCACAGAAGTGCACCAACCCCAGCGGCATCTGGCTCAGTTGCAGCACAGAAATTAGAGCCTAGATTAACGCTCAATCTAACAATCCATCCATCCATCCATCCATTTTCTGCTGCCTCATCCGTTGCCGGGTCGCGGGGGCAGCAGTCTAAGCAGAGACGCCCGGACTTCCCTATCCACACACACTTCCTCCAGCTCGTCCGGGGGGACCCCAAGGCGTTCCCAGGCCAGCTGAGCGATATAGTCCCTCCAACGTGTCCTGGGTCTTCCCCGGGGCCTCCTCCTGGTGGGACGTGCCCGGAACACCTCCCCAGGGAGGCGTCCAGGAAGCATCCGGAAAAGATGCCTGAGCCACCTCAACTGGTTCCTCTCGATGTGGAGAAGCAGCGGCTCTACTCCGAGCTCCTCCCGTGTGACTGAGCTCCTCACCCTATCTCTAAGGGAGCGTCCAGCCACTCTGCGAAGGAAGCTCATTTCGACCGCTTGCATCCACGATCTCGTTCTTTCGGTCATTACCCAAAGCTCATGATCATAGGTGAGGGAGGGAACGAAGATTGACCGGTAAATCGAAAGCTTCGCCTTTCGGCTCAGCTCCCTCTTTACCACAACGGTCCGATACAGCGACCAAATCACTGCGCACGCTGCACCGATCCGCCTGTCAATCTCACACTCCATCCTTCCCTCACTCGTGAACAAGACCCCGAGATACTTGAACCCCTCCACTTGAGGAAGTAACCTGGCAAGAGCCAGATTGATGATTGTGTAGAACTGCGTTCTATGCGTTCTCCACAATATCAATCTGGGACTTCTGCAGGAGAATCCTTTCGGGGAATCAAGCTGATTGTGCGAAGTGACGCTGTGTGCCCGCCTACCAAGGTTTAACTTAAACCAATCCCGATAACATCTTTGCCGTCCAGAAATGCACAAAGCGCCTCTCGCTGTTCATCTTTCAAAAAAGAAATTGGAGATTCTGCTAAAACTGACTTGATAGCCTCAGCTACGCGTCCGTCCTCCTGCGTAGCCATGTTTGTTTTGCTTCGGCCCGGCACTTCTTGCTTTCGTCAAACCCGGATATCCCGCCCTAAACCCCCAGACTGGTGCGTGATTGGCTTGAACACCTAGATGTTCTACTCGAAAAGGGTTGGCGGGAGCGGGACAAGATGTATTCTCAAGTGTTTGTGAACTCACAAATACCGCGAGAATCCAGTTTGCAGGCAAGGTTATTGAGGAAGGACTGCTCCACCCACCTGGAGAGGGCAAGGCACCTTTTTCAGGTCGAGCACCATGGCCTCAGATTTGGAGGTGCTGATTCTCATCCCAGCCGCTTCACACTCGGCTGCAAACCGTCCCAGTGCATGTTGCAGGTCCTGGTTCGTTGGAGCCAACAGGACAACATCGTCTGCAAACAGCAGAGATAAAATCCTGTGATCCCCGAACCGGACCCCCTCCGACCCCTGGCTGCGCCTAGAAATTCTGTACATAAACACAGTGAACAGAACCTGTGACAAAGGGAAGCCCTGGCGGAGGCCAACATACACCGGGAACAGGTCTGACTTACTGCCGGTAATGCGAACGCAGCTCTGGTTCCGGTCATACAGGGACCGGACGGCCCTCAGCAGAGGACCCTGGAGACCCCGTACTCCCGGAGAACCCCCCAAAGGACACCCCGGGGAACACGGTCGAACGCCTTCTCCAAATCCACAAAGCATATGTGGCCAGGTTGGGCGAACTCCCATGAACCCTTGAGTATCCGATGGAGAGTATAGAGCTGGTCCAGTGTTCCGCAGCCAGGATGAAAACCACACTGCTCCTCCTGAATCCGAGATTCGACCATCGGTCGTAGCCTCCTCTCCAGTACCTTGGAGTAGACCTTACTGGGGAGGCTGAGGAGTGTGATCCCACGATAATTGGAACACACCCTCCGATTCCCCTTCTTGTAGAGAGGGACCACCACCCCGGTCTGCCACTCCACTGGTACCGCCCCCGAGCGCCACGCTATGTTGCAGAGACGTGTCAGCCAAGACAGTCCTACAACATCCAGAGACTTTAGATAGTCAGGACGGATCTCATCCACTCCCGGAGCCTTGCCACCATGGAGGCTGCCAACCACCTTGGTGACCTCAGCCAGGGAGAGGGAAGTATCTGCCCCAACATCCTCAGCCTCTGCCTCTGGAACGGAGGAAGTGACGAGGGGATTGAAGAGAACCTCAAAGTATTCCTTCCACCGCCCGACAATATCCCCAGTCGAGGTCAGCAGCTCTCCACCCGCATCATACACAGTTTTGGCAAAGAACTGCTTCCGCCTCCTGAGGTGCCGGACGGTTTGCCAGAACCTCTTTGAGGACGACCGATAGTCATGCTCCATGGACTCTCCGAACTCCTCCCATCTAACAATCCACATTCAATAACAATACGTGTTCAGAAACTGTTCATACCCTGGACACTCAACATTCATCAACACTTATGGACATTGGTCTCTGCCCCTTATGGACCAATACCAATGTGTTTTCTATTTGATTTTTATTATCAATAGAAAAATCAATTTGATTTTTATTATTTTGATTCTTTGATCTGTGTTGGCAAATTCAGCTGATTTGTAAAGTCCTCAGAGATAACTACTGTTGGGATTTAGGGCGATACAAGAATACATCGAAATTGAAATATGGCAGAAGTGTATCCGGTTCATACACTTTCTGCAGTCATTATTTTCTTGTTATTGTTGAGTTTTTGGCGATGACAAGACAAGACATCATGGCTCCGTACCAAACGAGATATGAGTCTTACATTAAAACGACATCACTCTTTCAGTTGTATCAGTTTGGTGTTTCCTGTCACTGCCACACAGCGCCACCATCAGGCCTTTCCAGTACATCACAATTCTCAAAGAAAATATTTCCACTTTAATTCCACCTCTATGGCTCTGTGTGTATTCTTGATTAGGATGTATTTGTAGTTGAAATCATGATTTGAAGGTGTTATTTAAATATACTCTACTAACGAGAACATGCACTTTGTTATCTCTCTGCTTTCTCAGTTTAGTGACATGTTTTCATCTCTAGGTCATGGAACAATCTTCTTTACATTTGCTCATGACCCGATTGAAGAGTACTATTTCATCAACCAGTCCAAAAGCTGGAGTGAGGCTCAGCAGTACTGCAGAGAGCACTTCACTGACCTGGCCACGATTGAGAGAAAGGAGGACCTGAGCAGAGTCCACATCCCGGCTGGTCAGGTGGCTTGGATCGGTCTTCATGATGACCCTGCTGCGTGGTTTCAAGTCATGACCAATGCCTCCAACTCCTGGAGATGGTCGCCACTGGGACCACCAGCCCTGGAGGCTTCCAGAACTGGGCTTCACCTCAGCCAGATAATAGGGATGGTAATGAAGAATGTGTCTTGGTTGAATTTGACGCATGGAAAGACGAGTCCTGCACTGTCAGTGTACATTGTCTTTGTTTCAAAGGTGAGTGTGTTTGACTTATACGAGGATATATTTTCATTCCCACTGTCTTACGGCTAAAACAGAGGATCTAAATAACCCAACTGTGAACTGGTTTGTCAATACTTTATACTAAGCTTCTATTGTGTTGTGTTTCTGTGTTTAGTCCAGGCAGGTATCAAACAGTTCTTTCGGATGACTGACTTTCTTAGGACATGGTTCCACTGCCAGACCGAGTGCAGAAAGAGTTACCAGGACCTGGCTCAGATCGAGACTGCAGAGGAGAAGCAGGCTGCGATGGCGGCCATGACTGGAACGAAACATGCCTGGATCGGTCTGTACCGAAACACATGGCTCTGGTCGGACCTCAGCAACAGCACCTTCAGGAATTGGAAAACTGGATCACCCAACAACATAAATAACAATGAGCACTGTGTCCATATGAATGAACACTGCCAAATGGACGACGCCACCTGCTCCGAACCACAGAAGTTCGTCTGTCATGAAGGTATAGTTTCTCAAAGACTTTAGAAACACTGTTCAGTAGGGGTGTGACGATATATCAATTTTTCGATATGTCGCGATACTTTCTCCCGCAATTCAATTATCGATATGCATTTGCCAAGTATCGATATCGATTTTGAAAAGAAAAAATATATATATATATATATTTGTTTTGAATTTTTTTTTACAATACTTAATATATGGCTACATTACACATCTCCATTCTATTTATCATGAAATAGAGTAATTTCTCTTTTATTTATGCCATAAATTGGCATATTGTATATTTCTGACCAATATATCAATAATCGTCGTATCGTGATAAAATCGTTATCGTGATATTATCGTTATTGTGAGCTTTGTATCGTGTATCGTATCGTGAGGTACCCTTAGGTTCCCACCCCTACTGTTCAGATGGTTCAGAACACATTAAGTTTTGTTGTCACATTTGAAAAGTATTAGGTGAGATAAAGGCCTAGGCTCACAGCTGTTAACTCCATGCCAGCCCTTACTTTAAAGCCGATAGCAGCATCGAACGGCCCTGCAACACTTGCAATTTTGAATGCCTATCCTCAGTGATTGCGTCTCCAACGAATAACATTGGAACTTTCATGAGTCTCTGTAGAAATAATCCGAATAGTCTGCCGCGTGCAGACTGTTTGCTTCCAACTTTTGGCCCTACATTTGTTGAGATGAGGTGGAGTGATTTTAAACCAAATCGGGGAAAAGGCCGAGGTGTACTTATCAGTTATTTGTATGTTTGTCATTGCCACGGCAACAGACAAAGTCAAAGAGACAAATGTGTCACAATTGATGAAAGGACTCAAAATGCAGACAATTGGATTTTCAAAAAATTTATTCAAAAGCATTACTGACAACATGTAGTAGAACAAAGCTGGCTTTCATGAACAGGTTTCAGATGAGAGACATGAAAATCTGGATGAATCCTCATGGAAGCAGGCAAAATCAGGATTAATAACACAACACTTTCTAGACATGATGTATTGTAAAGGACTCTACCCACTCATCACAAAGCCTACTCGAATAACCATTAATTCTGAAACACTTATTGACAACATATTTACAAACATAATCGAAACGACAGTTAATAGTGGCATCTTGATTAGTGACATAACAGACCACTTACCGATCTTTATGACATACAAAGGTGGTACTGACAATAAAAAAGTTCAAAAGGAGAGACAGCACAGAATAGAAAGAATACAAAATGAAGAGACAATAAATAAATTAAGAAATGACCTACTGAATGAGACATGGAATGAAGTTTATGTACCAGAGGTGAATGCTGCATGTGAAGCCTTTCTAGACCAGTACAAGTGTCTGTATGACAACAACTGCCCAGAACGAATAAGGAAAGTGAAAGAAACACTTAAACCATGGCTGACAAGAGGACTGCTAAATGCATGTGCCGAGAAGAACAAGTTATATGGAGAGTCAATTCAATTTAGAACACAAGAAAGTAATAATAAATATAAAACTTATAAAAACAAATTGACAAGCATATTAAGGAAGGCAGAAAAAGATTATAATTCTAAAGCATTATTAGAAAGTCAGAATGATATGAAAGCAACATGGAAGATATTAAAACAAGTTATGGAAAAGAAGAAACCGAAGTCGACTATACCAAATTACTTACTAAATGATGAAAATAATCAAATACAGATGTTAAAGATATGGCCAACAAGCTTAACTCGTACTTTGTAAATATAGGGCCAAAGCTTGCTGATAAAATTCAACAACCGGGAAATACATATTTAAAAACACAAGGCAGTAAAATTTGTCACTCCATATATTTGGAAAAAGTCACTGAACCAGAAATTTTAAGAACAGTTGCAGAGTTTAAAAATAAGACATCGACAGATAGTGATGGGATAGATATGGCTATCATTAAAAAGACCATAGACTGCATAACCAAACCACTTTGCCATATTTTTAACCTGTCTTTCACTTCTGGACTTTTCCCTGATAGACTAAAAACATCAAAAGTAATTCCTGTATTCAAAACAGGGGACAAGCATTGTCTAACAAATTACAGACCCATTTCTTTAATTTCACAGGTTGCAAAAATTCTTGAAAAACTTTTTGTTCACAGATTAGATTCCTTTATAGAAAAAAACATGTTGATTAATGAGAACCAATTTGGCTTCAGGAAAAAACGATCCACGGCTTTAGCACTACTGCAAATCACAGAGCACATAACAGCAGCACTAGAAAATAAACAAAGCACATTGGCAGTACAGTATTTGTTGACTTAAAAAAGGCATTTGACACAATTAATCACAGTATATTAATAAAAAAACTTCAGTGGTATGGCATAAGAGGAGGGTGGTAAATTGGGTTGAGAGCTATTTAGAAAATAGACAACAGTTTGTACAGTTTGCTGGCAACATTTCTAACAAACTAAATATTCAGTATGGAATTCCCCAAGGTTCCATTCTCGGGCCAAAACTCTTTATGTTATATATCAATGACTTATGTTCTGTCTCATCAAAACTCAAATCAGTCTTATTTGCAGATGACACACATTTTTTTCTATCAGGAGATAATATAAAAAAATTAACAAGGACAACGGAAGAGGAAATGGCCAAAATAAAAACATGGTTCGATGAGAATAAATTATCATTAAATATAAGCAAAACGAAATTCATGGTGTTTTCAAACAATAACAGTAACACAGACGTCCAGGTGTCAATAAATAGCACAAAAATTGAAAGAGTACAAGAAATAACATTTTTGGGAGTGACAATGGATGAGAAATTAAATTGGAAATCCCATGTAAACCAGGTAAAAAGAAAAATATCAAAACATATCTCTGTACTGCACAAAGTGAAACATTCACTTGATCATAAAGCCCTAAGGCTCCTGTACAGTACCCTGATACTGCCCCATTTCACCTACTGTGTAGAAGTCTGGGGAAACACATACAAACACACCATACATCCTCTAATCCTCTTACAAAAAAAAGCAGTGAGAATCATTCATAAAGTGGACTCAAGAGAACACACAAACAATCTATTCATACAATCAAAACTGTTAAAACTAGAGGATCTGATCAAACTACAGTCACTCATTGTGATGTACAAAGCCAGAGACTCTCTGCTGCCAGCAGCTGTACAACAGCTCTTCTCTCTCAATATCAACCAGGACAGTAGAAGGAAGTTACACTTCTCTGTCCCTTTTGCCAGAACCACCCAGAAACACATGGGAATATCAGTGGTCGGAGTAAAACTATGGAATCAACTTGACTATGAAATAAAAAAATCCGCAAACATCCACATGTTTAAGAAAAAAATCAAAGCAACAACAGTGAAATCGTACGAAATGAATGATTAGAAAAAAACAATAAAAAACAAAGAATTATGAAAACAAAAACACATCAAATAAAAACAGTTTGAAGAAGTGCTAAAGGCCATCTTTTTTTCTTTTTTTAATTTTTTATGTATGAAGAAAGGGGCAGGCAACATGAGATTTTTTTTTTCTTCTTTCTGCTCCTTTTCATTTGTGAGACAAGACGACAATTATTTGATGTAATGTAATGTAATTGTAATATGTGTAGTATTGTTTTTGTCTACAATTGAAACAAATAAATAAATAAATAATTTTTTCAATCTCAAACGGCCCAATGTAACGTGGAGCCAGTTTCTTAGAGTCAACTTGCAAAGGGATGTCAGTAGTAGAAAGCCAAACTTTCTGACCTGCCTGGTAATTTCCCGGTTACGTTGAGCAGAGCGAAGCAGAGCAGCGCGAGCACATTTCCAAACCCTACGACAGCGGCTGAGGTGGTCCTTTACTGAAGGCACTGCAATATGCCTCCCCTGCTCAGGGAATAAAGAAGGCAGGTAACCAAGGGCCCATTTGAACGGTGACATACCAAGAGACGCAGATGGAAGGGAGTTATGCGCACACTCCACCCAGGGAAGGTGCTGGCTCCAACTCGAAGGATCTTCGGCAGCAACACATCGAAGGGCAGATTCCAAATGCTGATTTGCTCTTTCGCACTGTCCATTGGTCTGTGGATGAAAACCAGACGAGAGGTTAACCTTGGCTCCAAGGGCTTGGCAGAAACTCCTCCAGACCTGAAAGACGAATTGAGGTCCGCGATCCGATACAATATCCAGCGGTGCTCCATGAAGTCTGAACACATGTTGGACCAAAACATCAGCAGTCTCCTGGGCAGAGGGCAACTTGGGAAGGGCCACAAAATGTACAGATTTGGAGAAACTGTCAATGATTGTCAGTATTACAGTGTTACCTTGGGAGACTGGTAACCCAGAAACAAAATCAACGGCAATGTGGGACCATGGCCGGCTAGGGACTGGAAGAGGCCGTAATTGTCCAGATGGCCTTTGATTGGAGGCTTTACCTCTGGCACAAACAGTGCAGGCCTTAACATACTCCCGAGTGTCTCTCTCCATAGTGGGCCACCAAAAATAACGACGAAGAAGTGCTGACGTACAGCCTACTCCAGGATGACATGCAAAACGGGACGTATGGAGCCATTGCAGGACCTGTGGACGAACAGATTGAGGGACATACATACAGTTAGGGGGGCCATTTCCAGGGTCTTTAGACGCGATCTCCCAGGATATGGATGCCACCACACAAGACTGAGGTAGGATACTTTCTTCCTTTTCCGGCAAGTCTGTGGAAGAGAATTGTCTAGAGAGAGCATCGGGCTTGACATTTTTTGAACCTGGTCTGTATGTTAAAGTAAAATTGAAATGACCAAAAAACATTGCCCAGCGAGACTGGCGGGAATTCAAACGTTTGGCAGATTGTATGTAGGAAAGGTTCTTATGGTCTGTCTAAACAATGAATTCATGTTCAGCACCTTCTAAACAGTGTCTCCATTCTTCCAAGGCCGATTTCACGGCTAGGAGTTCGCGGGCTCCAATGGAATAGTTGCACTCATGGATGCAACTTGTGGTCAGACAATGACCTTTGGGATAGTAAGTAAGTAAGTAAGTACGTTTTTATTTATATACCGCCTTTTCACTGCAGATCTG